GGCCTCTTGTGGGGTAGTACCTGGCCGAAACTTACGGAGCCTGGAAGCGAGCATGTTGGTGATCGTGACCGTGTCTCGATCACGTCTAAGGGCATTATACACTTTTGCTTGGAGGCGAGGGGAGGCAGGCTCACGAGGGACACGGGGCATGTCCTGCAACTCGGCCTTGACAGCCATCAGATGCCACAGGATCGAGCTCGTCACATAAGGGTTCCACTTGTGAGTGAGAATCCAATCGTCGCCTTCAATGATTTCCTCATATCGATACTCCCACCTACAATAAGCAATACTACGTAAAGCGACACGATAGGCACTAGCTTTAGCATATAGACGAAGATCATGCACCTCACGTTTAAAGCCGACTTTACTTAGATTCATCATCATATCGTGACTTATGGCATTGAACGGGCCCGCGTGTAACAGCTGCACAGATTCATACTCCCGTCGCAGAACAGCTTTCGAGGGCGGCAGCAGTTGTGCAACATAGCTCAACGTCGGGAAGGCGAACAAATTGTAATTCATAATATTCATCATGAAACTCATCCCCATGGTCCTGATCTGCCGAGCCCGAGAAAGCACCTTGTCCCCAGGGTCTCCCCAAGATAATGTTTCTCCACCTTCGCCGACAACAAAACCTAAGTACTTGCCGTGCTTCGCAAGCCTGAAGCCCGAGACGTCGAGTCCGTGCTCGGCAAAGAGGCTGAGGGCACTGTCGGGATTCATCCCGTAAGGCAGCAAGATGACAGTTTTACCAGGGTGGATACACAGCCCCGAGAGAGTACTAAACCAACTCATCATAGGTAACACAATAGGAAGAGTAATGAATATGTCCTGGGAAGTAAGACCGAGATTCGCGGGAGGGGGAGGAGCAGGAGGAGGAGGAGGAGGAGGAGGAGGAGGAGGAGGAGGAGAAGGGAGGAGAAAGAGGAGATGGGAGGAGGAGGAGGAGGAGGAGGGAGGGAGGAGGAGGAGAAGGGGAGAAGGATAGGAGGAAGGAGGAGGAGGGAGGAAGGAGGAGGAGGGAGGAGGAAGGAGGAAAGGAGGAGGAAGGAGGAGGGAGAGGAGGAGGAGGAGGAGGAAAGAGGAAGGAGGAGGAAGGAAGTGCCGCGGGAGGGGTGGCAAGCGAGCTCCTGCCTTCCTGGGCCGAGGGCCTATAGGAGGGAGGGACGAGGCCGAGCGCGGCCGTCGACAATGGCGGACAGCTGGGGTCTGGGAGAGGGGGAGGGAGAAAGAGGGAGAAAGAGGGAGGGAGGGAGGAGGAGGAGGAGGAGGAGGAGGCGGAGGAGGTGGAGGAGGGGTGAGGAGGAGGAAGAGGAGGAAGGAGGAGGAGGAGGAGGAGGAGGGAGGAGGAAGAGGAGGAAGGAGGAGGGGAAGATGGGAGCAGGAGGAGGAGGAGGAGAAGGGAGGGAGAAAGAGGGAGATGGGAGGAGGAGGAGGAGGAGGAGGAGGAGGAGGAGAATGAGGAGGAGAATGAGGAGGAGGAGGAAGGAGGAGGAAGGAGGAAGCGTGCGCCCCGGGCCTTGGGGGGGCACGGCTTCATGCACGAGGGTCGAGGATCGAGGGACATCGAGGTCTAGGCGTGTTTTTCTCGGCGTCGTTCGTCCTTCCTGGGCCTCGGCAGGGTTCCCCTCATCGCCAAAGCAAGGTTTTCTCGAGATTCGACTAGGGTATCGAGGTCCGCGTTTTCCTCGTGGCGTCGTTCGCCCTTCCTGGGCCTCGGCAGGGTTCCCCTCATCGCCAAAGCAAGGTTTTCTCGAGATTCGACTAGGGGTATCGAGGTCCGCGTTTTTTCTCGGCGTCGTTCGCCCTTCCTGGGCCTCGGCAGGGTTCCCCTCATCGCCAGAGCAAGGTTCCTCTCGAGACTCGAGCCACGACGCACCGAAGGGGAGGTCCTGGGGGCCGTGACTTGGAGGGGAGGGGGAACTGCTGGGGAAACTGAAGGATGGCGGTCCAGCTACTCCGTGGACCTCTCCTGGGGTGCGTGCTGACCCAGATTTGGGGACGACTGCAACGGTGGCGGCAAGGACTAGGTCGGGCATGTCCCCCAACAGGCGGAATTTGGACGGACACTGAAAAAGAGTAATAACAAATACATCAAAAGACGTAGAAAAATCGTCCCAAGCCTATGTTCTTAGTGTTTTTGAACATTCCTGCTGTAATGAAGGGGACATGCCCGACTTGAGGCATGGAAGGGGCAGCGGCGTCGGCCCCTTTGCCTTCTCTGAGGAGGAGGGATGGGGACGTCCTCAACTGCCCCTGGGATCTTCAGGTCAAATAGTACAGTCGGGCCGCTGAAACGATTGGGAGGCAACTACTGGGAAGTTTTCGTCGGAAAGATTAAAGATGATTAAGCCCCACTTGGGGGGCTATTTCGCCGGAGTGGGCCTCGGATTAAGCCGGATTAAGCGGGATTAAGCGGGATTAAGCGGGACTTCGGACCAGTGCAGAATTAGAATTTGACCTCCCAGGAGTTGCATCCCAAAAATAAGGAATGATGAATCAGAAACGATGTCCCTTTTGGGCGCCAACAGCGCCTGCGTGCACGAAGAACGCTAGAGGAACAATCACTGAAGGACCGAAGTAACAGCGAGCCCCTTCCGAGCCCAAGGCGGTCCCTGTGTCAGCGTCTGGGCTGTACCTGCACGTGGAGGTCCGTCTTTCTCCGCCAGGGTCTGTGCGAGCAGAGTGTCGGCGGAAGGGGGGGCCCATCAAACAGGAACCCGGCCCCGCCGCCAAGATCTTGAAATGCGGCCGGACACCCCTCGTTGCACCCGCCCATCTCTTAGCACGGGGGAGCGGGACAAGCCGGGGGAATCAAAAAGGTACCGATACCGCCACTCCCCGGACCTCTCCGGGGGCGCGTTCTGACCAGGATCCCGAGGCGAATCCAACCGTGGCGACGAGGGCCTCCCATGGAAGGGCGAACAAGGGGGGACCAGGCGAACGGTAGCGGTACGGGCACCTTTCCCTCCCCCGACAAGGTCGAAGCGGGCCCAGGACCCCGGGGCGCTCCCAGGGCACAGCTCGCCGTCCCGAGCGGTCAATGGGGAGGGGCAGCACGGGGCAGACCCATTTCAACCCCGACCCCTCCCCTTCATGACCAGCCTCGAACTTATCCCTATCCCTAAGACTGACACGCCAAAAAGCGATGACAATCCTAGGGATGCGCCCTCAAAACATAAGGGGATCCCTGAGCTTGGCATCGTGACGAGGAGATGCCCGACATAGGGATTGGGATATATTTCCCAGGCTGGTAACTCCAGGCTGGAGGCCACGCCCCCCCGTCCCATCTCCCCGCCAGCCGCGTGACAGAGGCCCTGCCTCGCCCTCCCGCCAGCTTTCGGGCCATGGCCCGGGCCTCCGGCGGCCGTCCGGGGCGAGCCGGGCACCCCTGAAGGAGCGCCCTCGGCGAGGCGCGGCCGCCGGCACGCAGCCCGAGGCTGGAGGACCACCGAGGACAGGTGCACACGTGTGAGGATCTTGGGCCTCGAGCCCGAAATCTCCCTCCCCTCCCCGCTCACTCTAGAGAGGGGGGCGGGGTAGGGGGGATCCGATGGGACTGGCGGGCGCAGCGGAGGCCTCCTCTGGCACAAAAGCGCGCGCGGGCGCTCCACGCGTGCGCGCCCCTCAGCTCTGCCTGCTGCGTGCCGCGAGCGGGTAAATGGGCCCGCGCGCACGCGAGGGCACGTAAAACGCGGGCGAGGCCCTGCCTCCTCAGTCTCCTCCTCCTCCTCCTCCTCCTCCTCCTCCTCCTCCTCCTCCTCCTCCTCCTCCACCCTCCCCTTAGCCTCCTCTGACCACAATTCCTCCTTCTCTTCCCCCTCTCTGTCTCTCTCCACCCTTCTAAGACTCCTCCCTCCTCATCCCCATGACCTCGTGCTCCATTGCTCCCTCCTCTGATCCCGTTCCATCCGTTATCCTCCTCATCATAATCCTTATCGTCATCCTCATCACAATCATAATCACGATGATGATGATCCTCATCATCAGCAGCAACATCATCAATATCATCATCATCAGCATCATCATCAGCAGCATCATCACCATCATCACCAGCATCATCATCAGCCTCAGCCTCAGTCTACTTCTCAGCCGCCTCATCCTCCTCATGCTCCGCATCATCATCATTATCATCATCATCATCAGCATCATCATCAGCAGCATCATCAGCAGCATCATCAGCAGCATCATCATCAGAAGGAGCTGCAGCAGCAGCAGCAGCAGCCGCATCACCGACAACATCAGCGGCAGTCGCATTAGCATCATAATCACCATGATCGTCATCAGTAGCACCAAAATCCTGATCCTCACCCATCACCATGATCGTCATCATTAACATCAAAATCCTGATCCTCACCCTCAGCCCTCAGCCTCCATCTCCCCATCATCAGCAACAGCAACATCATCAGCACCAGTATCATTATCATCAGCAGCATCATCATCATCAACATCAGCGTCAACATCACCACTACCAGCATACGCATCATCATCATCAGCAGCATCATCATCATCATCATCATCATCATCATCATCATCATCATCATCATCACCAGCCTCCTCATCCTCCTCCTCATCCTCCTCATCCTCCTCAGCCTCATCCGCATCTTCAACCTCATCCTCATCCTCATCCTCATCTTCATCCACCCATCCATCCGTGCATCTCCTACTGGTGTCCTCCCCCTCCTGTCCGTGCTCCTGCTGCTGCTGCTCCTCCTCCTCCGCCTCCTTCTCCTCCTCGTCCTCCTCCTCTTCCTCCTCCTCCTTCTCCTCCTCCTCGTCCTCCTCCTCCACTCCCCAAAGGCCCCCCCCCCTGTCCCATGGCTTGGAGGTACGGTGCAGCTCGCAAGAAAGCATCCCCCTTCTCCTCCTCGAATTCCTCCGTGCGCCCCGGCCTCACACCCTCCCACCATGAATGCCTCCGTCCCTGCTCGCTCCACCTCTTCCTTCCGCCATCCCCCCCCCCCCGTCTACCTCCAGGTAAAGACGCCGCGAGCAGGCGCTCAAGGGCTGCAGAGGCCCGCGACCAGCGCCAGCGGCGCGCCCAGCAGCCTCCGGAAGATCCGCACGCTCGATAATTACCCGATCTGTCCGCGGCAGCTTCGCAAGCACCGGGAGGCGGGAAGAGCGCGCGGCTGGATTCTCACATGGGGAACATGCGGACACCACGCGCTGGGCACGCATGTGGAAGGCCAGTGCGACTGGCCGCACGAGGGCCGCATGCTGGAAAGACACGCGGCCACGTGTGAATCCAGCTCCTGCCCAGGCTTGTCACATCGTGCGCATTCAGGATCGTGCCCCGATTCCAAGACCCCTGCTACAATGACATCACCTGGAGACGCGACCCTCGCCGATCTCTGCGCTTGACCTGCGCGCCGCCCACCGCCCGCAGGTGGTCCAGGCTGGCCTCAACAGTCCCCCCGAATAGTCTGGGGCGGTCTCGATGCCGCCGAAGGTGAAGGGGCCCTGGGGCACACAACAAAAACAGACGCAAGTAAAAGGATCCCCCAACTTTCCCCATACTTTCTGGGTTTTTGTATCCCCCCCCCACTGCCCATATGTTCCTATATTCTCGAGGGGAATCGACGATGAATGCTGTCCGTGTGGTTTTGTCCAGGGGGCGCCAGGATGTCGAGACCGGCCCAGACTGCCCACGGGGACCTGCCGAGGCCCGCGGGGCCTGCCCGGGGCGGCCGACGGCGCGACACCTGGAGCCTGGACCGACTCTGACTCGGTTGGAGAGGACACGCGGGAGGACACAAGGACCCGTCCGAGGGTCACGTTGCCACAGGGATGCAGGAAGCATGGGTCGCGAGACACAGGACACGAGGGTACCCTTGATCTGGCAGGGTCGACCTGCCCATCTGGGCCGACTGTATGTACAGTCGGGATGCTGGAGTAAGGGGCGCGACCTAGAGAACGAAACCCCTCTTTGGCCCCAGAAGCGTCTGCGGACGAGAAACGCCAAAGACCCGAGGGGAGGGGAAGAAGACGGGGACCGTGACCAAGACCAAGACCGAACGCGGAAACGTCGTGCCGATCTCAGTCAGCGCAAACCTGGGTCAGCGTCCATTCGTGAAGCTCCCCGTGCGAACAGGTGACGGCCGACACGGATCATGGCCATAACCGGCATTGGCGAGGTCCGCGACATCTTTTAGGGGAACGAACCATGACATAAACATAAAAACTCGGAGGTCCGCACGGATTTCTCGAATCCGTGCTGGACGCCTTCCCTGACGCGCGGAGCGCGCCGGGGGCGGCGCCGGAGGCGCCGCCAGGGGGCCCCAACGCGGATCTGAAAAGTCGCGCGGACCTCCGAATTTGTATGTTTATGCTTTCTGCCACTGTTCGTCCCCCTGGCTTTTGTCATGCTGCCCGCGCTTCTCCCCCCGAATCGGGGAGCATCGCGCCCCCTTGCGAACCCACGACGTGCGTTATCCTGGCGTCTCGGACTTGCCTCCGAAGGCGCCCGCCGTCGGGCCGGTTTTTGACGCGCGCGCAGTGGGCGGTGTGCCAGAATGGGTGCGGCTGGGTGCAGTGGGCGCGTGCAAACGCGGCCGCTGGAGCCTTCGGTGGGGCTGCCTATGGGGACACGAAGCGTGCGAGGGGCGTGCCGAAATGGGTGTGGTGGGCCCATGTGAACGCAGCCCTTCGGGCCTTCGGTCGAGCTCCCTGTGGGGGCACGAAAAGTGTGAGGGGTGTGCCATGCGAAACCTGCCACTGGGGCCTTCGGCGGAGCTCCCTATGGGGTCACAACACGTGTGATGGGTGTGCCGATCTGGGATGGGCATCCGGAGAGCAAAGGCATGGAGGGGAGGAGGGAGGACGGGGAGGAAGAAGGAGGAGGGAGGAGGAATGAGACGCGGGGCGCTCTCTTCAAAACGAGGACCCAACTCCACAGGATGGTTGGGACAAAAGCACCCAGAGACTGCCAAAAAAGGCAACCACAGAACAAAGACAGCCAAGCTTGCCCCAAGACTGTCAGCAGACCACCCTGGCGATCCCAAGACTGCCGAAGAAAGCCTCCAGACGCTCCAGGAGGGCCCCAAGATAGCCTCAGCTCGGCCCAAAAGACCCCCATCATGTCCGTCCAAAAGGCCCTCGAGAGCCAACAAAACATGCTGCTCCTTGGGGTTGTGTCAGAGGATAACATGTTTGCCCCTGCCTGGCGAAGGCCCAAACGGTTCCCAAGAGAGCCCCACGGGGTCCCCGAGAGTGCCCCCGAACGGGGCATAGGGTACCCCGACGGAGAGCGTCCCGTTTCTTGATGCGCGGCCCCACTGCAGCGTCCCCGGCAATCCTCCACCTCCACCTCAAGATTCCACCTCCAGATCCCACGCCTCCTGCCCGACATTCCACCACGTCAGCCGCCCCCTCCTCCCTCCTCGCACCTCCCCCCCTCATGTCCGAAACCGGCGGTCTCCTCCAGCAGGCCGCCACCGGCACCGCGCCACTGACCTCGCACCAGGCCGCCGAGAAGTGAGGGATGCCCGCGGAAGGGCGTTCCGCCCGTCCTCCCTTCCTGCTCCATCTCCTCCATCTCCTCCTCCTCCTTCGCCTCCTCCTCCTCCTCCTCCTCCTCCGCCTCCTCCTCCTGCTCCTCCTCCTCCTCCTCTTTCTCCTCCACGCTTATCCTCCTCCTCCGCCTCCTCGCATATCCTCCTCCACCTTCTCCTCCTCCTCCTCCTCCGCCTCCTCCTCCCTCACCTCCTCCTCCTCCTCGCTTATCCACTCCTCCTCCTCCTCGCTTATCCTCCTCCTTCTCGCATATCCTCCTCCTCCTCCTCCTCCTCCTCCTCCTCCTCCTCCTCGCTTATCTTCTTTCCGCATCCCTCTCCCTTCTGACTCTCCGTTCTTCCCCCATCCTTCGCGCTCATCCTGCTCCTCCTGATCCCTCCTCCTCCTCATCATCCCTTCTCCCTCGTCATCCTCATCCTCCGCTTCGCCGCTTCCGCATCCCTCATCATCCCCTCCACCTCCCCTCATCCTCTCTCCTCGCTCGGCATCCCTTCTCCACTCTCTTCCTCTCTCCTCCTCGTCAACCCCTTCCTCCTCTCCTTCCTACTGCGCCTCAGAGATAAAGAGGGAGGGAGAGAGGGGGAGAGGGGGAGGGGGAGAGGGAGAAGGGGACCCTGCTGGGCTATGGCCACGTTCTCGCTTGCCATCTCGCGGTAAGCCGTCTCTTCGGCAGCCGGCCTCGAGGCCCAAAAATAGTCCCAAGAGGCTCCCGGAGAAGCTTGCATCCCACAAGCTTCGTCAACCATAAAATAACACAACATTCAAAATCGTGGCGATCGATAGTCCGGGCACTTCTCAGAAATCGCGTGATTCAATGCTGTGCGGATGTTGCCAGAGTTCGGGCACCCCTGCGTCCGGGCCACACATACTATACCAACATTGAACCCGTGCCGACCTCACAAACACCAAAAACAAGAACCGTCAATTCATGTTCGGCGAGTCTTGTAGAAAGATCCAGCAAATCCACCCATGGGCCCGCTGCGACCTGCAACCACTACCCAGGCATGGTGGTAGTGGGATGGGCCGAAGACAACCAGATGAGAACCTCTCAGTGCAGGTAATGGTTGGGCAACGTCGGATGACATATCTAGGTGCGGTCTCCTTGGAGAGACAATGCCTCTGACGTTTCAAGTCTATTCCACTGTGCATCGTTTCTTGGGATCAGGGTTCAGCCATCGTCCAAGTCGTAAGCTGTTGATCTGCGCTGGATCCGCCACCGTGCCCTTGAGGCCCAGGTTGGAGTCTCTCCAGGTCCCTTGCCCAGTCCCACGGAGCCTCAGTCTTACCAGCCTCGAACGTATCCCTATCCCTGAGATTGGCACGCCAAAAGGCGATGACAATCTTAGGGATGCGCCCTCAAAAAATAAGGGAATCCCTAAGATTGGCATCGTGATGAGGAGGTGCCCAGCATAGGGAGAGGGATATGTTTTAGGCTGGTAATGTTCAGGCCCAGGAGGGCCCCGATACGGTCCAAGAGGGCCCCGAATCGCTGAAGGGTCGGTCCAAGATGCACGAGATGGCCTCCAGTCGAACGACAAAGCACCCAAGGCGTCCCAAAAGGCATCCAAGAGCCTTCCCAAGATGGCCCCGAGGGGCCAACATCAATGATTGTCCAACGGCGTTTCAATGTGTTTCCAATGTGTTGCAGGTTCTCCACTTTTCGAGCTTCTGACGCTCCAAGAATGACCCACGAAGCTCCCAAGACCGCCCCGAGACTGCCGCAGAGGCCCCAAGAAGGCCCCAAGACGGCCCAAGCGGGCCCCAAGACGGCCCAAGAGGCGCCCAAGACGGCCGCAAGAGGGGCCCAAAAAGGGTAACACGAACAGAAAATTCAAGCCGTCCGCCCCCAGGGGCGCCCAGGAGGCCTCAAGAGGCCCCTAAAAGGCCCCAAGAAGCCCCCAAGGGGCCCTCCACGAAACCTCAAGGGGCCCCAAAGGGGGACAAAAGAGGCCCGAAGATGAGAGGTCGCATCCAAGACGCCAAAGATTGCCCTCAATACGACCCCGAAGCGCCACGCCCAAAGACGGCCCAGAGAGGCCCCCAAGATGGCGTCCGACGGCGTGCAGACCGGCCAGGAACGCCCTAAAACGGCAAAAGAGTCCCCCATCAAGCCCTCAGAAGCCCCCAAGAGGCCTCCAAGAGGCCCCCGGGAAGCTCCCAGGAGGCCCCAACACTGAACCAAGAAACTCCCAAGAGGTCTGCTCCAAATTCTCCACCTCCTTCTTCCTCCCTCTCCTCATCCTCCACTTCATCCCTCACGTGTTCCCCGAAGGGCTTCCACGGCTGGGGAAACGCATGGCCCAACAGCGTGGCCAAACTTTGCCGAAACGATGGCCACATAGGCATATTCTAAAAGGAAGGGGTGGCGGTGATTCACCGTAGGCGTCTTCGATGAATTGTCACCCCTTTACACCCTCTTCAATCATTTGAATCGTCTTCGTAATCCCCAGCTGTGTTCTACTCATGCTGCTGCTGTTCCTCCTCGTCCTTCTCTCCATCCTCATCATGTGTGCCCTCTACTAATCATGCATGCTCATCCTCAATGCCATCCCCGCTGAGAATACACATCACCGGCCTCGTTCTCAGAGCCGGAGTCGATGGGCGTGAGGGTAAAGTTCTTCGCAACCATGAACGTGCTGTCAACGCCGATAGTGGAGCACGACAATCGAAAATGCCGGGTGCGTGGGGACGTCGGATGTACACACTTGCTTGTGTCGTCACCACTGGCCTGACAAGTCTCGGTACCCCCAGCGAGATTTGCAACGCGACAATCCGAGTCAGCACTGCAATCCTCGCCAGTGCCCGTGTAGGAAGCATCTACAGTGTAGTACGGCTCAGTGACATGCGACACGCCATCGAACAAGTTCTTGAAAACAGCACTGGACGAAGGCTGGTATACCCTGTCGCACGTGATCGTGCCATTGGCATCGTAGCGCACGCCGTCGGGGCCTGCCAGCGCATTGAAGTATTCACAGAAAACCGCCAACCACTCTGGGTAGAAACCCACGGGTGGATCCTCGAGGTAGTTTCCGTCATTGCCGCCCCAGTCGTAAGGTCCCAGGGCGCCTACTTTCAGGCTCTTGTCGTTCAAAACCGTTCGCAACAGACCAGTGGCCGCAGCAGAATTCGGGGCGATGAACACGCTCGGGTCTTCGGTCTTGCACGTGTGAATGACTGTGAACTCAAAGGGCATGTTGTTCAGCTTGGCCGCCTCGTCCTTGCCATCAGCCTGGACGCCCGCTCTTTGCGCCCGCCGAGTCCCTGCCCCCCCTCCATCCCTGCTCCCTGCGCTGCCCTCAGCGCGCCCTCCTGCCTGCAGTAGGCTCCAGCTCTAGACATGGCAGGATTCACCCCCCCCATACAGCTCCCAACACGCCAACAGAAGCACCTCTGCGAGAGGAGGAGCGCCTGATCCCCATCACACACTGAAGCGGGCAGTCTGTCAGGGAAGAGGTATCTGCACACAGCGAATGAGTTGCACCCTGTCCCCACCCAGGGCGCGAGACTTGGAGAGCCCGCATATGATCCCGCTCAACCCAGGGCGTGTTCCTGGCCCCTCCCGGCGCTGGGACGGGCACGGAGGCCCAGGAGGACGAGCCTGAAGTCAAGAGCAGGAAGAGAGCACGAGAGAGAGAGAGAGAAGTGAAGAGGAGAGATCCGCCGGCCCCCTTGTGGGGCCACCAGGCTGTAGACCGAAGTGTGCTGCTCCCTGCACCAGTTGTAGTTTCAAGTATCCAATGTTGCAGTCCTGCTTCCTTCTTCCCACTACTGTAAATTGTTGAAGTCCGCGCGAGGGGGGAGACCCAAACCAGCAATATACCATCATCGGATCGCGCTGCATGAATTCCCAGTGTAGGGGTGGGACATGTGAAAATATACGAGAGTCGCGCCCCCGAGGCCATAGTCCCTTGTAGATTACACAATATGTGCGTCCCCGAGGCCAGAAACCCTCGCAAATGAATCAATTGTTGCGTCCCCGAGGCAACGAACCCTCGTAGAGTTCGCAATGTTCGAGTTCCCGAGGCCATAAACCCTCGCAACTTACTCCGTAGTCGCATTGCCGAGGCCAAGAGTGCTCCAAGGCGCCCGAAGATGGTTCCAAGACGGCCCGAGAGGGCCCCGAGCGCTCCAAGAGGCCTCCCGAGAGAGCCCAAAGAGGCCCAAAACGTCAACTTGACCAAGGGTTTTGAAGAATTCTTCTCACATGTTCGGCTTTCCGACGCTCCAAGACGGCTCAAGAAGCTCCCCAAACCGCCCCACGACAGCCTACGAGGCCTCCAGGAGGGCCCCACGACTGCCCCTGAGGGCTCCAATATTGCCCAAGAAGCGCTCAAGACGGCCCAAGAGGGCCCCAAGAGGGGCCCAAGCAGGAGACCACAAACCGATATATAGATATATACATACATACATACATACATACATACATACATACATACATACATACATACATACATACATACATACATACATACATTACATTACATACATACATACATACATACATACATACATACATACATACATACATACATACATACATACATACATACATACATACACACACACACATACACATACACATACACATACACATACACATACACATACACATACATACATACATACATACACACATACATACATACATACATACATACATACATACATACATACATTACTACATACATACATACATACATACATACACACATACATACATACATACATACATACATACATACATACATACATACATACATACATACATACATACATACATACATACATACACACATACATACATATACATATACATACATATACATATATATATATATATATATATACATATTCAGTGCCCCGAGAAGCCCCACGGAGGCCCCAAGAGGCCGCCAGGAGGCCCCAAGAGGCGCCCAAGACGCAGCCAAGAGAGGCCTCCAAGACGCCCGAAAAGTACCCCACGATGCCCCAAAGAGACCCCCTAAGAGGCGCCCAAACGGCCTCCAAAAGGCCCCCGAGAGGCTCCCCACGACACCCAAACACATCTACAAGTGGCCTCGGAGCCACAACCCAAGCACGGTGGCGGGATTGACCGAAGGCTGCCGGGATCCGCCGTACCCTGTGGTCTTGCCACAGCGGTGCCCGGCGTGCTAGACTTCTACCGGTTTTGGTTTAAGCTATTTGTCGAAAAGACCTCTCCCCTTGGTCTTCGGCCATTCCCGCCGGCCACCCGGAAGCCGCCAGAAATCTACCTGTCAATGCCTGTCCCTCTCCAAGATGGCCCGAGATGGCTCCCAAGACGGCTTGGATGGCCCGTGATTGCCTCTCAGATCGCCCAAGATGGCCTCCAATGCCCAATATACTTCCAAGTCCGCCCAAGAAACATCCAAGACGGCCCAAGACGGCTCAAGAGGTGCCCAAGAGAAGAGACCTCCAAGACGGCCCAAGAGTCCTCCCAGAGGACCTCCAGGAACGCCCGAAGAGGCCCAACTCCTGGATTTCCCCTGAATGTTTGAAAGGTTTTGGCATTTATGTGCTCCTTTTCGGCCTTCCGACGGCCCGAGACGGCCCAAGAGCCCCCAAAGATCGCCCCAAGATCGTCAAGAAGCCTCCAGGATGGCCCCAGAATGGCCCAAGATGCCCCCAAGACCGCCCCAGGAGGGCCCCAAGGCGGCCCCAGGAGGCCTCCAGGACGCCCAAGATGGCCTCCAAGACGGCCCTGGAGCACCCCAAGAGGGCCCCCAGTCGGCCCAGAGAGGCCGCCAATACAACTTCCGACGTCGTCAGACGGGCCAGGAGCCCACCAAGACGGCCCAAGATAGCCCTAAGATGGCCCAAGACGGCACGAGAGGCCCCCAAGAGGTCTCCAAGACGGCAGAGGCCTCCACGAGGGTATCCAGAAGGCCCGAAGAGGTCAAAATCCTGAGGTTTCTGAAGGATGTTGGCACTGGCTTCGTTTCGGCCTTCCGACGGCCCGAGACAGCCAAAGAGCCCCGAAAGATCGCCCAAGAGGCCCCCAGGATGGCCCCAGAACGGCCCAAGAGGGCCCCAAGACGGCCGAAGAGGGCCCCCAGGCGGCCCAACCACAGAGGCCCGAGACGGCCAACGAGGCCCCATGGAAGCCCCCAAAGGCTCCGAAGAGGTCCCAAGGAGGCCCCCAAGATGCATCCGAGAAGCTCTCAGTAAGCTCCCAGGAGGCCCCAAGAGTGTCCACAGAGGCTCCCAAGATGTCCCCTCCTGCTCCTCCTCCCCTTCCTCTTCCTCCTCCTCCTCCTCCTCCTGATCTTCCCCGCCATCCTCCCCCAAGTGTCCCCCGAAGGCAAGCCACAACGGCAAGGGGAACACATAGTCCGATAGCTTGGCAGAGCTCTTGCCACAACGCTCGGCCACCTGGGCGATTTCAAAAGGCAGGGGGCTGCGGTGCCGTAAGCGTCTTCGATAACGCCAACGTCTCAATATGAACTGATGATTGCTATGCGCACCCGCATGGTGTTCCCAAATGCGCCAAGGCAGCGCCGAAACGCACCATCACGACTCTGATACATTCCATTATGATAGAGAAGGGGCCGACAACAGGGGGGCGAAGCCCTTCCGGAAATGAGGAAGAATGGGAACATGCGATATCTGTTGAGCGGAGGAAACGGAAAAATTATCCCGGCAAAGCAACCTAACAGCCATGTGTAGGAGCATATCTGGAAGCATTCCCCTTAAGATTCGGATGAGAATCCAGTTGTAGAATTCTGCTGTTCTCGCAGTCGTTGTCGCATTCGCGATGACAGTCGCAGTGGCAACGGCAGTCGCAGTCACAGCCTCAGCCTCAGCCTGCCTCAGCCTCAGCCTCCGCCTGCCTCAGCCTCAGCCTGCCTCAGCCTCAGCCTCAGCCTGCTTCAGCCTCAGCATCAGTCTGCCTTCGCCTCGGCCTCAGGCCTCAGCCTCAGCCTGCCTCAGCCTCAGCCTGCATCAGCCTCAGCCAGCCTCAGCCTCAGCCTGCCTCAGCCTCAGCCTCAGCCTGCTTCAGCCTCAGCCTCAGTCTGCCGTCGGCCTCGGCCTCAGCCTCAGCCTGCCTCAGCCTCAGCCTGCATCAGCCTCAGCCTCAGCACGAAGCGACCCAGCTAGAAGGACAAAGCGCTGAATGTACACCGATGTGTTCGACGACTGCGTATGTAATGATGTGACGATATACAGACTGAGCCCTTCGTGAATGTCTACATGTTTTTCTGACGCCTACAAACGGCGCTGACGTGTGTGAGAAAATTGTCCGCGCAGCAAAAGCCGGCGAAGCGTGCGGGAGCTCGCATGCTGAGACAGACTACGTCTGCAGACCGCCAGCTGCAAAAAGTTGCGAGCGGCTCTTGGAAGATGTTTACGGAACGGAGCTACGGTGTCTGAAAACATTGGCATCGAAGGGAAGAGCCTCGGAGCCCTGCAACCTGAGAAACACCGCAGGAACTCGCATACTGAAAAGGAATGCATTGCAAACCGCACGCTGCGAACCCTGCAGGCTGAGAAGCACCGCAGGATGTCGCATGCTGAAAAGCACTTGTACTGCAGAGCGCTAGCATCTATCTCGGGCTCGGACCCCCCCGTCCTGATCCAGAACGTGTCCGGCCACGGCCTGAAAATGCCGTTCCAACTCCCGAGGATCAGCTGGCACTCCGGCTCTGGGACACTCCAGTACGTCTTGAGCACCTTGAGCCAGGCCCCATCTCGGGATCCCCACAGCACGCTGTACTTGACCGAGACCGTGCCGAACTCATAACAATTGACCTCCGAAGGACCTGCGAGTGCAGGCTGAGAAGCACCACATCTCGTTTGCCAGAGATCACTCCCAGGTTATTTGATCCCGCAACACCAGCCACGGCGTAGCTGCCACAGGGGCCGCAGATAGCAACGGTTCGGTCACCCAATTGGCGTTCCGGTGAGTCACAATTCGCGCGTGGCTCCACGAGCCTGTGTAGCGCGATTTGCGGGGCACCAGTGTGCTGTAGGTGTTGTTGCCGTAGCAGAAGACGGCCTCTGGAGCCCAGTGCGGATTCCAGCGGACAGCGTAGACCCTGTGGACGCCATTGCGGATGACGTCGCGCGCACCTTCGATATGTGCCACCCATCGAAGCCAGTCAAATGCTGAGCCATCGGTGATGTCAACAGCACCTGGGGCAGTCTCGCCATGGTGGTAGTGCAACAGCGATTGGAGAGCGGCGCTGGCTTCGTCGCGGCCCACAATCTGGC